AGAAGATGATGACGGGGAAGAAGATGATGATGGAGAAGAGGATGATGAGGCAGAACAGGATGATGATGGAGAAGAGGATGACGAGAGAAGAACAAAGAAAAAATCTGATCACTTTCAAGCATTGGCGTTGCAAGAGGAATCAAGGTGGAATTTACTATCGCGAAGAGATGAGAATACCGACAAGGAACCTAATGTGAGGGGAAAGAGTGTTCTTAGTTGGCCAATAAAGGGCATTGAGCAGGAGAAAAGGACCTTTTTTTTTTTTTTTTCTTGGATATGTGTATTTGAAACAAATGTTACATCTACCTTTTCAATTATGAGGAAGTCATCATGTTCGAGATTGTGTATTTGTTAACGATGTAATTTGGTTATATGATACGGGTTCTTTTCGATTTGATCTTGTTTACTCTGATCTTATTTTCCTCTTTAAGTTCTTTTTTTCCCTCAAAGTTTTAAGTTCTTTTTTTCCCTCAAAGTTTACTCCTCTTATTCATTTATGTTGATTATCTTGATTAAGGCAACATGCAAATCGTAACTTTTGTGCTCTATGGTTTATAGACATTGGGCTCTGTGATTTCAAATATTCATGGATTTGCATGCTCCATTCTTATCAAGTGAACCTATGCATTTGTTACCCCTGTTTTTGTTAAGTTAGTGAATCTCATTTATGGGGCAAGCCATGAAACAAGGTGTCTGGATACTGTACTCCGAGTTTGATATGTGAGTTACTGAGCTTGCCCATGAAGCAATGTGTCTATCTTCTTCTTTATTCACATTTATGTTATTTTAACTTAAAGGATTTTGACTTAAAATTAGTGTAAGTTATTGTACTCCGAGTTTGATGTGTTTATCTTGTGAGGAATGCAAATATATTGTGACCTTAAGCTATGTTTTGGAAGCTCTTATTATATTGCTTGAGAGTTTAAAATATATTGCATGGGAGTTGAAGCTTAAGTATGAGACCTGAGTTCAAATTTTTGGTGTATTTACTTGATGTATCTTTAGTTCGGTAACTGTGGCAAGATCGAAGAACCATTTTAGAAAATAATAGTGATTAGCAATAACTTAATAATTCATGGTACTTTATAATTGTGGAATTTGCAAAAAAAAATCTGGTATGTAAAACGCGCTCCGGCAGAGCCACCACACACTCCGGCAACACCACCATAGGCTCTGGCAACACCACCATAGGCTCCGGCAATGTCACCACACGCTCTGACAACATTAACATTGGCTCCGGCAGCGTCAACATTCGTTGCGGCAGCATCTAAATTGGCTCCGGCAGCGTCAACATTGGCTGCAGCAGCATCTCAATTGGCTCCGACAGCGTCAACATTGGCTGCGGCAACATCTAAATTGGCTCTGGCAGCATCCCACATGCTCCGACATTGCCTCCAAATGTCTGTCAATGACACCACGCGCCCCGGCAGTGTCGCGAAGTGCACCGGCAATGGCGTGATATAAAAACGCTCAGAAAAATGGTGTACGCGCTCCGGCAATGCGCTCTAGCAGCTAACCTTATGGAATTTTGGCGCTCCAGCGTTGAAGGACCACGCTCCGGCAATGGAGCTTCTAGAGCCGCAACGCTCCAGCGATGTGTGACAATGCTCCAACATCAGACCTCTGGCAGTGAACATTTTGGAGCCACAACGCTTCGGCGATGGTGGACTACGCTCCGACAGTGGACCTTCTGGAGCCACATCCCTCCGGCTAGGGTGGACCACGCTCCGGCAATGGAGATTTTGGAGCCACATCGCTCTGGCTTTGGTGGACCACGCTCTGGCAATGGTGCTTCTGGAGCCACAGTGCTCCGGCGATCGATGACTACGCTCCGACAGTATGTTTACTCACTCCGACATTCGTCCTGTTCATTCCGGCATTAGTTTATGACACCAAGGGTTCCGGCAATGTTTGAACATCGCTCCGACAATATTACTGAATGCTCTGGCAGTCGGCTCCGGAAATGGAGTCTTTGGTGTCGCAGCGCTCCGGTAATATGGCACTGCGCTCTGGCAGTGTGGCTTGACATTTCACTCCTGCATTGTTATACTACGCTCCGGCACTATGTTGCTTGGGTTCTGCGTATCGATTTGGTTTGTACGGGAAGGCTATTTCTGTCCAAATATTCTAAATTTTTTACTATGGGGGTTTTTGCGAGGAAAGGTTTTCTAGGAGAAAAAAGTGTGAAGAAAAATTGGGGTGGGGGTAAATTAAATAGAAAATTCATTTTAGGGAGGTTTTCGTAATTTTCCCTTTTTTTAATGTAAAAAAATGTCCCTTTTTGGATTACCCTCCTTCCATGAAAAATGATGAAAATGGCAGTAAAATTCAAAAGAAAAAATTATTACATAGAGCCAAATTTTCCCAAGGATCATAAAATTTTTCCATATTTCAAGAAGAGTTAGTGATCATAAAATTAGTAAGCAACAACTTTTAAAATATATAAATATTTAAATCATAAAAATATTGTAATTAAAAACAAACGATTTTTTTAAAAGCTACAAAATAAGAAACAATGCTAGTTCGCTAAATAGCATATTTTACATATTTAAAATAGTGATAAAAAAGCTGAAATATAGTCACTAACAATTTTAAAATACGATTCGTAATTAAAAAATAAAAAATTTCATAAAGAGTACTAAAAAAAGAAAATGTAAATATGTTATTTTTATAAAACAGATTAAAGGATAATACCTTATAAAAAAAAAACAAAAGTATTGTTTCAAAACCAAGATATCAAGATGGAAAATTGCAAGAGAAAACCAAAAGAGATATGAACATAAAAAATTAATTAGAAATGATATGGGGATACAAATTCTTTTAGGGCTTGTTTGGGTACATGGATTTTAAGGGATCGATTTCTAATATCTTGGATGTTGTGAAAATCCACCGTTTGGATTGTTTAATAACTAGGATACTTAAGATCGAGAAAATTAAAATCATTGAAATAAGACCTACTTTTCCATGATTTTATTTCTGTACTAAAACCTGTTTTTTTGTATTTCCAAGGCCCATAGATTTCACTCATTGCTTCCCTCGACCCGAAATATAGGCAGCATTTGGTAGGTATGAAAAATTCGAGAGAGAGTACCCAAATTTTTTAAAGAGATAAACTATCTCAAAATTTTTAGACAGAAAGACTATCTTAAATTTTTAACTTTTAGAAAGAGAAAGTATGTTAAAATTTTAGAGAGAGAAAGTATGTTAAAATTTTAGAGATTAAAAGTACCAATTTTTTTTAGAGAGATGAACTATCTCAAAATTTTAGAGAGAAAAACTATATCAAATTTTAGCTTTTTGAGAGAGAATGTATGTTAAATTTTTAGAGAGAGAAAGTATGTTAAAATTTTAGAGAGAGAAAATGTCAATTTTTTTTAGAGAGATAAACTATCTCAAAATTTAGAAAGAGAAATTATCTCAAATTTTAAGTTTTAGAGATAAACTATCACATTTTAGAGAGAGAAATTGTATGAAAATTTTTAGATAGAGAAACTTTCTCAATTTTTAGAGAGAGAAACTATTTCAAAAATTTTAGAAAGATAAGCAATCTCATATTTTAATTTTTAGAGAGAGAAACTATATCGAATTTTAAAGAGTATCTAAAAAGTTTTAGAAATATAAACTATCTCAAATTTTTTTAGAGATAAACTATATCAAGTTTTAGAGAGAGAAAGTATTCTTAAAATTGTAGAGAGAGAAAGTATTCTGAAAGTTTTAGAGATAAACTATTATAAATTTTAGATAGAGAAATGGGCAAAAAATATATATATAGAGAGAAATATCTCATTTTTTAGAGAGAGAAACTATCTCAAATTTTGAGTTTTAAAGATAAACTATCTCGAATTTTGAATTTTAGAAAAAAGAAAATATATTAAAATTTTAGAAGTAGAAATTATAGCAAAATTTAGAGAGAGAAACTACCTAAAACAATTTATGGAGAGAGAAATTATATAAAATTTTAGAGATACAAACCATATCAAATTTTGGAGAGAGAAACTATCTCAAATATTTTATAGATATACTATCCCAATTTTGTGTTCTAGAGAGAGAATGTATATAAAAATTTTAGAGAGAAAAATTGTATCAAGTTTTGTTACCAAACAATGGACATATAAGTGATTGCAAAGAATCCATGAATTTTCTATAGTTTATCCAAACAAGAGATTTGAGAAATTCATGACAAAAATTCTTATCTCCAAATAAATTTTATAGGGTCACCTTACTTCTACCAACCTTATACAAACCTCAAAAATATATTTTTTCTTTTCTAAAATCGTGTTAAAAACCGGCACTTTCCTAAACTCTCAAACTCTATTGGGAAAGCTTTCTAGGTTCTTCCTACAACATAGAAGTTCTATCCTCCCCTTATCTCCTCCTATCCAACAGTCCATTTTTTGAATGGAGGGCTAAGATCCCCTCAATCACAATGTCACGTCTCTACACTATTTTTTTTTTTAATTTTTTTCTATAAACTCTTTTGACACCAAATTTTGTATGTCTATTCCACTATTAAACTTGCACTAATGAAAGATATAAAAAAATAATGGAGAGCTAAGATCGTCTCAATCACAATGTTATGTCTCTACACTATTTTTTTTAATTTTTTTCTATAATCTCTTTTGACACCAAATTTTGGACGTCCATTCCTCTATTAAACTTGCACTAATGAAAAACATAAAAAAAATATTTTCAATAAAATAAAATGACCAAAATACCTTTAAAAATTTCAATAGATATTTTGGCTATTATTTTTTATTGAAAAATTATTATTAATATTTTTTTATAAGTTTGCCTTAATGACAAGATGGCACATACTAAATTTTATATTTAAAAAAATTATATTAAAAAAATTAAAAATAAAATACTTTGAGATATAAGACCTATGATTAAAGAACTTACTCTCTTGATAATAATTAGACGGCTTGATGGTCGGGGGAGGATATAAAAAGCTTTACCAGCACTCTTGGGGAACATAACATAGAAAGCTTTCCCAACTCTCTTACCCCTACTTTCTCTCACGCTACTACTTTCCTCTCTCTCTCTAACTCTGACGGACTTTCTCTCACTTTACCACTTTCCTCTCTCTCTCTAACTCTGTCATGAGATGGACCCGGTGTTCTCGCTCCTCTAAGCTGAGCTCAAAGACCCTTCTGTCCTGTCCCGCCACAACCTATTTATAAATCTAAAATAAAGGCCTTAATAATACTCTCTCTCTCGTTTCCTACTCTCTCTTTCTACTTTCGTCTTGTCTCTCTCTTGAACATCTCTTCCTCATTGTGGAGCTAGTCCCAGAGGGGTGGTCCTGTCCGCTGCGTTTATTGGTCCATCGCCCATGGCTGCTGCCTTCAAGGCCTTGATCTCCTCTGAAACTCTTCCTCTCCTCAGGTCTCTTGAAGCAGGGCGCAATCTTTCTGCTTGTTTGCCTTATGGAGCGAAAACCCTAAGTCTCTCTCAGTTTCAGCATGCCCTTCGAGCTGAATTTGAGAAGGAAAGGTATGGAAGACATCGTGAGGACCCTGCCATGTTTACTGTTTTGTTCTGATTTTTACTGATCATTCCTTTATGGATATTTCTGTAATTGTATGGGGTCTTCAGGAAATTCTTTTCATGTATTTTGCTTTCTTGCTGTTTTGGAGTGTTTTTTATCAAGAATTTCATGTGTCAGTTGATCAAGGCGATGTTCTTTAACTGGTTATGTCTTATATTCATTTTCATTTGGCTGGGTCGAGTGCTATTGTAGTTCATGAGAGCTTTTTTTAGTTTAATATTGTAGTTCTTGATAGCCTTTTTTAGTTCAGTTTTTTTGTGTATTTTCTTTTTGGGTAAAACAAATAATCTTTGCCATGTTTTGATGGTAATGTATGTCATCTGTAAAATCTTTGCCATGCTTTGAGGGTAATGTATGTCATCTGTTAAGCTCTCCATGTTCTTTTCTTCTGATTGGCATGTTCCCTGGTTGATTGGAGTTGAGAGTTCTTGACAACTCTTGACATTAGTTGTTAGAGTGATTCACAAGTTTCTTTCTTACAAGATTGAGATTGAAATATTTGGATTGCAAATGTCTCAAAAGTAATTGACATGGATTAAGTAATTGACTTGTATTCATCCATGGGGTCCTTCACTCGAAGTAGTTTTTGAAATTTTGATGGTATCGATGTTGTTAATGTTGCAATTGAGTATGTTGCATTTGAATTTACTAACCATATGACTCATTGGACTTCATTATGACATATTTTCATACGTTTCATTGGCTTGACCTGTTGGGAAGAAGTGCATTCTCATCTGTAGAAACCAAAAAGAAGGTTTTTATTAATTAGAAACCTTCTCTTTGATTCACACATAGAGAATACAGGAAGGCACCACTTCCAACAATTTGTATCGTAGCATAAGATGTGTTTTGTGTTTTCGGTGGAGAAAAACTCTTGACAAAGTTAGTTGATACATAGTTTGAGGGGGATAAATAATTGCAAATTTCACAATGGAGGCAAGAGGGAAGAAATAAAAAAATCTATATAATGGAGGTCGGGAGCACAATTGTGTTGATTTTGCTATCAAGGTGGAGATTGTTAGGAAGCACACCTATGTTTTCTTCAAAAGATTGACGGTGTTATAGTTAAAAAAAATAGTGTTTTCTTAGAGAGCATAGAATTCTATTGATCTCTATAAAAGGGGATAAAAAAAGTCATACGACTCATCCCTCTAAGGGTCATCCTATTGGCTGTGTGTGTGTGAGAGAGAGAGAGAGAGAGAGAGAGGGGGGGGAGAGTGAGAGGAATGGAGGGACCTCTTGTAGAGAGAATCATGGCCTCCAAGAAAGAGAGGTTGTATTTGGGTTGGTTCACTTTCCCCTTCTGGAGAGAGACATTCTCGGTTTCTCTCAAGGTTCTCGTTCTGGTAACAGTGGTATTGTTGGAAAGAGGAGGCTGATCTGCGGTGTCATTCAGACGAGAGAGTGCTTCTATAAGGGAAGACCAGCGAGGGTACTATTGATGTTTAGGGAGATGTATATCTCGTGTAACAAAAAATATAATTTTTATTGAAATAGTGAGTTTATAGGGGGGAAAAAGTTTCGGTTGTTGTTAAGGTTCTCTTTCTGGTAGGATTGTTATTGTTGGAAAGCAGAGATTGATTTTTGGTGTTGTTCAGATGGGACAACAGATCTATGAGGGAAGATAGCCAGGGCTCTTTCAATGTTTAGATAGAGAGATATAGCTTGTAACAAAAAAAAATTTAATGTTATAGTGTGTTTCTACTTGTTGAGGTCGTGGACATATTCCATTAGGCTGAACCACGTGAATCTCTATGCTTTGTGGTATGATTTGGGTTTTGTTGTTTTTATCGCATTTGATTTGTGGTTTTGTTCATTTATTTTGCATTTAACCAACTATGTACAGAATTATGTGCTTGATCTTGGATGATATCCCGATATTTAAGGATCCTAATTCTGGAAGCAATGCGCTCTTAAACATAACAATTGGTATCAAAGCATTGGTTATAGGCTCTTTTTTTTTTTTGTTTTTTTGTAGAAGGAAACAAAAATTAAGTGAATCATGGAGGCATAAACAATCATGATGATTAACTTGAATAGAAATAATTGGTTGATTTGAAAGGCTAAAATGGATGATGTTCTATATTGCAAAGATCTGTATGCTCTTGTTAAGGATAATTGACCCATGGAAAAACCATGTTTATGGCATTTGTATGAGCACTAATTTTGTACAATCATTCTCTTCATCCCAACCATCCATCCCCCCAAAAATAAAATTCAATTTGCACCTTAGATATGTTCATGAGTCCCCATTTAACAACGAGTCTAGACCATCTATTTGGTAAATTTTAAGATTAGGGCTTTACAAACTCAAAATCAAAATTTTATTTTTTAACATTATTCATCTAATAATACAGTCAATAATTTAAAAAAAAAATAAAAAAACAATGTTCATCTAATAATAACAAAATCATCTACAAAATTTGGAAAAAGAAAAAAAAAATCATACTAAGGCTTAGATCGATCTAAGTATCTAACCAAACATACAACCTATATTAAGTGGGTTAGAAAACACTTTTTAGGTCATTTTCAAAATTTTTTGGTTGATTGTTCATCAATACGGAAAGAGTAAGATTGGGGCCAAACAAATGGTCCTTAGCATGATTTTTGTAGATTGTTTTATTATATGGGAAAGGTTTCTATACTTCCCCTACTGCATAGAAGATATACTTCCCCCTCCATCCAGCCATCCAATATATAGATCAAGTAAGTTATTGACTGTTTGATCTAGATCCGACGTCAGAGTATTTTTGTTTTTAGTTTTGTTTCTACAAATTATATGAATATGAAATTTGGTACGTGCCATCATCTCAATTGGGCGCACCTAAAAAAATATTAAAAAGAATTTTTCGACAAGATGTAATGACCTAAATACCCTTGAAGGGGTATTTTGGTCATTTTATTTTATAGAGAACATTTTTTATATTTTTTACAGGTGCGAGCAAGAGAGGAGTGGTATTTTGGTCATTCTATTTTATCGAGAGCATTTTTTTTATAGGTGAGAGTTTAAGAGAGGAGTGGACGCCTAAAATTTGGTGTCAAAATATTTTGTAAAGAAAAGATTAAAAATAAAATAGTGTAGAGACGTTGGATAGGGGGAAGTATAGAAGTTTTATGCTGTAGGGGAAGCATAGAAAGCTTGCCCTTATTATATTACTATAAAACTGTCATATGAAATCACTCTCCACATATAGTGGAATTTACATCTAAATCCTAATTTATTTTTATATTTAAAAATAGTCTCATATATTTCAAATCAAGTCCCATTTGTTTAGAACATAAAGTTTCTTATAATTTAATCGCTTTTTCTATTCATCAGATTAAGGCTAACATGTCCGTAGTTTTCAGTTTTCACCATTGTACACCTATACAAAATATTAAAACTAATTTTAAAAGAATAAAATTACAAAACTACCCCCATACTATTCAAGGGTAGTTTAGTCATTTTATACATTTTAAATTTTTTGTATGTGTATAATAGTGATAAATACTTGATTGTAAAATATGAAATATCTTTGACTATTTTTAAATATAAAAAATAAAATAAAATTTACCTGCAAATTTCCCTATGCATATATATTTATTTATTTTTGTTCTTTTTATGTTGCCATATGGCCATATCCTTCTCTTATAACACTTGCTCTTGTTGTGTTCTATACATTTATTATGTTAAGAGATGATTGTCAAGCGATTTTTGTACCTCAGGAGTATTTGCAGATGTTCTTCAGATTCTACAACTCTACCGGGATCATCCTCCCAGGTCAGCATATATATCTTCCTTTTTTTCCTTAAAGCTTGTCACTATGGGAACTATATAAATTTGTATTGAATTACATTGTGGATGGCTCCCAATTTGAAACACAAGTGTGATTTGATAAATTTGAAAACCCATTATGATGTATCATTTGATGGGCCATCTGAAATTTGATCAAAAGACTGATAGGCTATTTCAAATTAGATAAAAATTTTTGGATGAGATGCTAAATTGTTCAACTCATATGTGTGATTTGATAATTTTTTCCCTTTTTCTTTTTTGACATTCTCAATGAAACTCTCTTAGGTGCAGATGGTATATTATGATAGGGAAAATCATGTCCTCACTTCTTGAAGCCGATTCCTAGTCTTTAGGAACTCTTAAGGCACATGAAACAATTCATAAAATATTACATGACCAAGGTTTAAAAGATATCAAATATGACCATTTGAATTTCCTTGCCACACAAATCCGGCATTGGTTCTTCTTGAATTTCAGAATCAGGGGGATATGTGCATCTGATAGATGCTATGAATATCTGTATCCGATTAATTGATTATAACTTGATCATTCTGTTCTGAGTCTATGAAAAATACATGCATGTCTAAAATTTGGATGGATATTTCCCATCTTTGGACTCTCTTATCTATTTATTCACTAAATTTATTTAACGTGTGAAATTTATATGAAAAAATATAGATATTAGATGTCTAGATATGTCATACTCGTAAGGACATGTCTTGTCTGACACGACATTTTCCTGGGAACTATTTTAGAGACATGTAAATATAGTTCTAGTTTCAAGTCTGTGGAGAATCTATTGGATGTCAGCTTGTTTTATTAGTATATTTTGTAGGCGGTGACTTCATGTATTTTACATTTACCCTGATAGCAAACAGGATCCCTTAGGAAATATGACTCACATGGATATGACACATACTTTCGCACTGCAGGGATCTGATGAAGGCACGGATTCTGTGCCCACACCAATAGTTTTGATAGATCAAGATTCTGACAAGGATTCTACGGTTGTCGAAATTAGCTTTGGGGATCGTCTTGGTGCTCTTGTGGATACGGTGAGGTCACTGGGGTGCACTTTCTAGTGCATGTTTTAGTTACTTTGCGGGCTGCAGGTTGTGCTTTTTAATTTCATGGGGCTGCATGTAATCCAAAAGTAACAATGGTTTTATGGAAACTGACACACTTCAATATATGCGCACAGCCTATGTGAACTCTAGTCATTGGATCCCCTTTCTGATGTTGTGGTGAATGATATTTTATACTTGTCATGTTAGTTAAGTCTGTACTTTATGCTTATTGCCAATTGCATTATTTGAGTCATAAGGGGGATAAACTCTGTCTTTTTGACACATCCAGTCCCAGGTCTGTGTGTTTTTGTGGGTAAGCCCATGCTTCTTTCTAGTTGATGCTTATAGAGGCTATTTCTTGTTTCATGAGTGGATTGCTTGTTTTTGTGTGTTGATTTCAACGCCTTCTTGATTTGTTACATTTTGCCACCATCAATATCAAATGGTTCAAATTCCTGTAGATGAAGGCCTTAACTGATTTGGGCTTGGACGTGACTAAGGGAACAGTTTCAAGTGAGGCTTCCGTCATCCGAACAAAATTTTTCATAACGCGATTGTAAGTATTTTTGATACTGTGGCTGTACTTTATAAAGCCTATCACGTTTTTCACAGTTTCTGTGGTGTATCGACATATATGGAGATAGTATTTCTACATTGTTCATTGGAGCAAATGAGTTAGAACTGCCATTATGCAACTGTTAAGATGTGGGAGTTTGGTTGTTCAGCATGGTTTGTTATGCTTTAACCCCTTATAGAAATAAGAGATATGTGGACTTCTGTGTCTTCATTTCTTGTTATTATTCAAATATGAAATGATGAAATATGGTTTGTTTATCTCAGAGTGGTTAGAAGTTAAAGCCTTGGTTTTTGCATATTTGGTGGTTTGCTGTAAAATAAAGGGCCTGATTGCCCACTTATGGGCTCATATTGCGTGGTCTCTATGCATGGAGCTAGGGATGGTCTAGCAACTGGTAATCCACTTTCTGAAAGGTAGGATCTCACCTTTGAGGATATTGTCTTTTCTTCTATATGGTTCATGTTTTTATTTCTGGTGGGTTGTCTCTATGGAGCTGAACATGTCATTGGGTTTCTTGCTGTGGTTCCAGTGGAAGGGGATGTGCAAAGTGTCCTTGCATATGAGAGAATTGGCAATTCAGGATACCTTAATGGTTCTATGGGGAGTAAAAGGTGCAGGCTGCATTAGTTTGTTTCTTGAGGTTATTGTGGAGTTTTGTAGGAGGTAATGATTTGGTTGTAGCATAATGTTAACACTTCTCAAAAAAAAAATGATTTGGTTGTAGCATGACCATTGACTGAGGCAGCTGGCAAGATGAATAGTAATCAGAAGCTGGATCAGAAAAATTGTTACAAGATGGCTTAACATTTTATAGAAATGGAGTAAAGGAGGCACATTTTGTCCAGAAGTTGTGTCTACATGGGGAGCTAGGTGTGTTGATGTTTGTGGGATGATTGCGTGTTGTCCCTGGCTGCAAAGTATTTGGTGATTGTAGTATGCTTCAAAGGCCCCATTGGTGACAAGAGTATGAACTAGAGGTCATTTTCTGCTGCCATCTTAGTTCAGATTTTCTAAGTATCTCTTCTTGGAATCCATCTTGCTCTTTGCCTATACTACTGGTCTTCAATGAAAAATGATCTTTTTGGAAAGTTAAGTTTACTGTTGGGTCACTGGTTTTGAGCTGAGGAGGAGCAACAAGGGTCCATGAACTTAATTAAGAACCATGGATTTGTGCTATTTACTGAAACATAAGGATAAATATCCGACGTTTACGTTTCAGAAAAAAAACATAAGGATAAATGTCCAATATATCAGTACATGAACGATTAAGTATTTTGGTTCATGGAAATAACACAAGAAGACATGCATTCACTTTCAGATCCCCTTAACATCTTCTGTACAGTTAAAGAAAAATATCTTAACTGACTAAAGACCCACATTGAAACTGATTTGAACCCAAACCTTAGGTGATTGTCTGGTCATTAGTTACTCAATAGGTCATGGTCACCCTCATAAGGATGTGTGTAAATGTCTGGTCCTTGCTTCCCTAAACCTTTGGTGAATGCCAAACGAGTTCTCTCCTTGAGTTTACTGTACTGTCAGGATATGATTGCCTTTGACATAAGGATGTGTCTGTAATATTGTCACATATGAATGTCTTTTTTATTATAAAGTTGTGGGAGAGCTTCAGGCTTGTTGCCCTAATGTGTACACCCTAAAGTTGTGGGGAGGACCGAAGGGGCTGGACACTCCTTAGCTGGAAATGATGACTGAAGCTGCAAAAAATTACTGTCATTTGAGTATTAGCACCTTCTTTAACGAGAGTGTCTGCACGTGAATTACTTTCACGCAAAACATGTTTCCAAGAAATCGAAAGGCCCAAGCACAGGTGTGCAATTTTTTCGAGGATGTATGCTAGAGACCAGGGGTAAGAGGTGGAGGCAGAGGCCCAGCGAATGACCAGGGGTAGGAGGTGGAGGCAGAGGCCCAGCGAATGACATTGTATGAATCTCCTTCCACGATGAGGGTAGAGGACCAACTATGGTCGAAGAGTCTAAAACCTACGAGAGCAAGAGCTTCCGCCGTTTGGGAATCTCAATGTCCAATGTGTTTGGAGTAGGAAGCCAGGATTTGGCCCTTGTGGTTGCGAAACAAGCCTCCAATATCGTCTGGTCCGCGGTTGGTGGGTTGCCCAAGGAACACCCAACCAAATTGAACTTGATGGCACTAGGGCTAGGAGGAGTCCATTGGGATGCTCGGGGAAACCCTGGGGCGTATGAGATGAAGGAGAGGTAGCCAGTCAAGGTGAAAGACCGAGTGTTGTATTCCTTTGAAGATTTTATGGTTATAGGCCCAAAAAGTTACTAGAGAAATCTGATCTTGTCAAACAAAACTGCGGTAAACTGGTATTGTCCTTGGAAGATCCGCTGATAACGCTTGATCCACATGGTCCAACGGAGCGCAAAGATTGATGCCTTCAGGAGGAGAATGCCAGGCTTAGGCCAAGAGTAGGCCTGGAGGGAGGAAAAGAGCTAGGGGATGGATTGGGGTGTAACCCATTGCCAGTGAAAAAGGCGAAGGAGGCTCCAAAGTACGGAAGCAATGGGGGAGGCAACGGGACAATGGATGAATAGGTGTTCGTTGGTTTCCTCAGTCTCGAAACACATGGTGCATTGGTTGGGAATGGGTAGGCCTCTTCTCCGTAGGTGGTCAACTGTGAGGACCCTTTGGTGTACAGCAATCCAATTGAAAACCTAGATCTTAGGGGGCACGAGAGGAAACCAAGCCTTGGCAGAAACAAAAGTAGGTTTTAAGAGCAAGGTAGGAGGTTGGGTGAGCTTGCTATAAAAAGATGGTACCGTAAAGAAACCAGAGGGTGAGGGGTACCGGATGAGCTTATCCTCGCCCTGGATGGGGATGAAGGAGGAATCCGGAAGGGCTGAGAGGTCGAGAAACTCTTGATTTTGTTGTCTGAAGGGGACCTCCTCAAGGTAGGGCTCCACACAGGCTTGTGTCCTAGGGTGTGGAATACTTCAGCTACTAATTCCTGCCTATTGATTGTGAGAAGGAAGAGGGAGGGGAAGAGATTCATAAAGGGTGAAGCTCCAAACCACAGATCAGACCAAAATTTGGTTCGAGTGCCAACCCAAGCTAAAATGCGAGTGATATGTTTGAACACCTTGAAGGTGTGCCATACACCCGAGGCCCTGCTGTAAGCCCTGGAGGAAGGTAGCCAGGAGGAAGGTTGGAGGTGGTATTTTTGTTGGAGAACCAGCTGCCACAGGTGATTGGATTGGGTGGCCTAACGCCACCTCCATTTGCCCAATATTGTTAGTTTTGAGCTTTCGGATGCCGAGACCCACAAGATGGCAAGGTGAGCAAACTTTGTCCCATGTTAAAAGGTGGATCATGCACCTCTTACTATCCCCCTCCCAAATGAACTTCTTCATTAGGTGGTTTAGGCGATTGAGCAGTTGTCAGCATTCTGAGTAGGGACATTTGGTAGATTGGGATGCTGGATAGGGTGGCTCTTCTGGGCAGGGAGAGGAAACGACCTTTCCAAGTAGCGAGCCTACACTTAATTTTATTGATAATGTGTGCCCAAGAGCTAAGCTTAGGTTTGCCAATGCAGAGAGGGAGTTCTAGATAAGTTGAGGGAAGACTATCTATACTGCAGCCCCAACTCTCGACCAAAGCTTGGGATATGTGGGGGTCGAGTGCTACCCCCATCATCTTTGATTTATCCATATTAGTCTTGAAGCCAGTAGCCCATTCAAAACATTTAAGGAATAGGAAGAGAGTATCGGTCTCTTGGAGGGAAGCATTACAAAACACCAAAGTGTCGTTGGCGTATTGTAAGTGGGAAATGGTAGATCCATGAGTGCCACACTTAAACCCGTGGAGTATGCCTTCGCTAGAAAGTCAGGAGATAGAGTGACTAAAGACTTCTGCTACGATGGCGAAAAGAAATGAGGAGAGTGGGTTGTCCTGGCGCAGACCCCTAGAAGAGGGGAAGAAGGCCCTAGGGGAACTGTTAATCAAAACTGAGAAGGGTTGGACATGCAGCCCCTAACCCATCTCCTCCACCGCTGACCAAAGCCCATTCGGAGAAAGGTTTCATCAAAGATCCCCCAGTCAACGTGGTCATACTCCTTAGCCCAATCGAGTTTGACAATTAGGCCAAGGGTTTTGGATAGGTGCCTTGAGTGGATGCACTCATGAGCCACTAAGGCCCTGTCAAGTATTTGTCGATCGTTCACAAAGCACCCTGCAGCGGGAAAATTACTAGGCCGAGGACTTCTCTAGGACGGGAGGCTAGCACCTTATACATGATTTTGTACGAACTCAATGATGCCTTTTTCAACCTCGACAGGGTGTTCGAAGATGGAGTTCTCCACTTTGATGTGGGTGATGGTGTTGTCTCGTTGTATACAGTTAACAATCTTGTGGAAAAAAGAAGTGTTGAGATCGCCAAATTTAAGCCACTTGACTCTCAACCTTTGGTACCAGCAAATTGCCTCTTTCTTGAGGAGATAGAAGTACTCGAGTTTTTGGTTGGATCTACATGTTCTTTCGGCTACCGTGAGGGGTCTCAATTCCTCCAACTGATTCTAGTGTTTGATGGCTAAGAGACTTGAGGTTTTCAAGGCTCTATAGTTGCAGAGTAGGGTTTTACTCCACTCTTTGAGGGAGACTTTAAGAAGTTGGAGCTTTCTCTGAAATATGATTCCTGCTCTACCAGATACCAGGGGGGAGAAGGAATGCTACCATGAAGGAATGAGTTGAAGGATGTAAGGTTCCTTGAGTCAAGCTAGCTTGAATCAAAAGGGTTTGGGGCTCCTAGGGGCACGTTGGGTGTCTAGGAGGATCGAGCTGTGGTCTGAGGTGGGTTTAGGGAGAGCAGATGCAAAGGAGCCAGGGAAGGTTGCATCCCATTTGAGACTGAGAAGAAAGTGATCAAGCTTGGAGAGCGAGGAGTTGGAAGAGTGGTTGAACAATGTATATTGGGCACCTTGAAGAGGGATGTCTATGAGGTGGTT